GCGCCTGCTGCTGCTGCTGCTGAGCTGGCTCCGCACACCAGAGGCAGTAGGCACCGCCTGGCAGGGAGCCCAGATAGAATGGGACTGGAAGGACATTGATGGGCCTGAAAGGTTTGAATGGAGCAGGACACGGGGCCTCTCCCTTGCAGGGGACACCAGCTCCCTTGTGGATCCAGGCCGGGTACTGGTTCAGAGGGGCAGGGAATGGGACACGGGGGGGTTCCAGGGTAGGGGTCACCTGATGCTCTCTGGCCCCAGGGCGGGCTGGCTGGCTCCGGGGGGGGGGGGGGGGGGGCACACCAGCTCCCTTGTGGATCCAGGCCGGGTACTGGTTCAGAGGGGCAGGGAATGGGACACGGGGGGGTTCCAGGGTAGGGGTCACCTGATGCTCTCTGGCCCCAGGGCGGGCTGGCTGGCTCCGAAGGGTGGAGGGGGTGCAGAGACCATTGCTGTAGCTCTGCAACGGCTCTCCTCTACCCCTGAGGCAGTTTGTGACACCCCCCTCCCCCGCAGCGGCTCTTCCCCCACAAACGCCTCTGTGTGTATCCTGTGGCCCAGTGCTCCCTGCCACTGCCCCTCGCTCCCTAGCCTGCACGGAGGCTGCAGCACTCCCCATAGACTCCCTCCTGCCAGGACCCCTAACTGGAATGCGTTGTCTTAGGTGGGGGGGCCTCTCCAGTGCCCCTGGGTCCAGTCCCTGCGGCGCGGCACAGTCTGATACTTGTGGGGTGTCCTTGCTCGGGGGCTCCAGCTCCCCCGAGCCCCGGGTCAGCTGTGGCATGACTTACATTCCCCTGTCGCCATCCCAGTGCGGCCCTGGCCCAGAGGCACTTCTGCCAGTGTGAATGGGCGTTAGACCAGTCTGCGCCCACACCGTGCTGGCCGGGGTGAGCCCGGCTGTCCCTGATCCTTGCTGCACCGGTTGGCCCAAGCCCGGGGCAAGCCCGTGTCTTCACTGCTTGCCTTGGGGTGAAGCAGGGAGCTGTGGAAGGAGGCTCTCGGGGGCAGGGCTGAGCAGAAGGGGGGAGACGTGCTGAGAGCCAGGCCCCCCTTCCAGGCTGCAGGGCCGGATGGGAGCCCTGGGGTGAGGAAAAGGTCCTATTTTTCCAATAAAGAGTTGGAAGCTCACGGCGTCTGTCTCCTAGGCCAGGTGGCCCACAGAACGGGACAGGCTGGAACCGGGCAGGCCTGGCTGCAGGGCAGGGGAGGGCTAGGAGCTGCTAGGGGAATGAGCGGCGTTTGGGGGGGCGGAGCGGTGTTGCAGGGACAGACGGGCCCAGCCGCCGGAGGTCAGCCCCCAACTGGGCTGCGCCTCAGCCCAGGCAGCTCTGCCTACAGCTGCCTGGGACCCGCACGGCAACGGGACAGAGGCCTCTCCCTGCGGGGGGCTGGCTGGTTTTGGGGGGGGGAGGAAATGGGAACATCAGAGTAGAGACCAGGCCAGATTGAAGGTCCAGCCCTCCTTCCCGTCACCCATTTCCGGCAGACAGATGCCAGGGCCACCAGCCCAGCCTGGCTAGCAGCCATTGATGGGCCTAGCCCCCTCTTTTCTGAACCCTGCTAAAGTGCTGGCCTACACAGCACCCTCTGGCGAGGAGTTCCGCAGGTGGACTGTGCGCTGCCTGAAGAAAAACTGCCTTTGGTTTGTTTTAAACGTGCTGTTAATATCAATTGGTGACCCTTCATTCCTCTGTTTTGGGAAGGAGTAAATAACTCTTCGTGTTCTCCACACCAGTCATGAGTTCATAGACCTCTAGCCTAGCCCGAGTTGCCTCTAGACTAAGCTGGAGAGTCAGTCTTGTTGTTCTCTCCTCCGGCAGATGTTGCGAGGCCCTGGACACTTGAGTTGCCCTTTTCTGAACGTGTTTTCCATTTTTGAGAAGTGAGCGCAGGTGCCTGCAGTATTCAAGATGGGGCAGAGACCTTTTCCTCAGGGGGGAGGGAAGGGTTGGCCCCAGAGCAGGGGGGTCAGGGCCTGGGACAGGCCTTTCCCTTGGGGAGGGGGTAGCAGGGCTGGCCACAGGGGAGGAGACTGGCATGTAGCAAGAATTCTAGGCCCTTAGTACCCCACAGTGAGCAGGGCTGGGGCAGCTGGAGCTTGCCCAGCTGATCTGTGGGGTAGGGACAATGACCTGTGTTCCCTGGAAGCTGTGCAGTGGCCACTCGGTCCCAAGCTGCCCAGCTGCTTAGCAGAGCCCCCACAGCTTGCTGTGTGTTTCTCCTGGGGGTGCCCATCCGCACAGGCCTCGGTGCACAGAACAGAATTTATTCTGCACATGGATGGAACAACTGGCCATGTGGATGGAAAATGCCCAGGAAACAGCTTCACTTCCTGTCCTGAATTTCTTCTCCCTGCCATGCTGTCTCC